AGGGGTCAACGAGGACATCAAACAGTTTGTGTGTCACACTTTGTGTGTTACATCACACAGGTATGGTCCAACGCAATCCCTGGGTGTATAAACAGGGGATAGCAGTAGGAAGGCAATTACCTCATTTTATCTCTAAATATTTGTATGTAACTGTTTACTATATATTGGCTTACTATACATATATAGTATAGATTAGGCCAATATTGAAATCTATTTGTGATGATTACCATTAAAAGAATGAATAAGGTAAATAAGGAGACATATGGACATTAGTTTGATGGATTTGGAGAGACTGAAAGCACCCCATCTATTTATCTTGTCAAAATGAAGAGGTGATTTGATTATAGTCCATAAACATTTTCACAGGGTGAAAATAAAAGATTCATTAATTTAGCAGGAAAGGGCATAACAAAGACAGCTGGCAGGAAGATGAAGCCACACAAATTCAAATAAAAAGTTAGAATTTAATTGAGAGTATAGCTGATTCTCTATTAGAGTACATGGAGAAGCAGTACCTCCTATAGCTCTCTTGTTTCAGACGAGAACAGTACCTCGCATAAAGATAGATTTTTATTACTGTGTTTTCTGGAACTCAGTTCACTGTAGCTCCAAATGTTTTTAAATATTCATTTCAGGCTAACCCAAAGTATTTTCTTTTTTTTTTGCCTGAGTAAAATATTCTGCTTGCACCTGAAGGAAATATTTTACAGAGCCCACTTAATTTTTCATATTTAGGATCACTAGATAATTTTTACTATTATATTTTAATTTAATTATTTTCATTTTATATTTCATTGTTCTTATTGCAATTTATTCTTTCATTTTATATTTTAATTTTGTTATTATATTGATGATAATCTCAAAATACATTATTTTTCCACTTAAAGATTTCTGAAAAATTAAAAAAACACTTATTAAACAATGTTAAGACAATTTTTTTCCTCTTTTTACTTTCTTCTTCCTTAATCACTCCCTTATCAAACATAACTGAAAATCAGAACAAAATAAAGATGATATAGCAGCACTGAAATATTTTTCTTTCTTCTGAAAAAGCGATTTGGCCAAAACATTTTTCACACTCTGAATTTATTAAAGTTATAATTTAGTTTGCAAGTTGTTAAATTCAAGCTAGATGGAAATTTAATAGCAAGAAGTCAAGCTAGTCAAGCTTTAAGAGTCTCCTTTAGAAAGTGGAAGAGTTTGTACTGGAGGTATTATTAAAACTGAAAGAATGGGTGATCCCGTTTCCAGAGATGGCAAGTTGCTTTGCAGGATGATCTAGTGCTCTGTTCCTCTTCTGTTACAGTCAAGATTGGAAAAGGTTACAACTCTGCTTGTGGAAAAGCTCAGGCTGTATGTATCCAACAAATACTTCTCCAATAGTTAGCCAGCCTTTCTCTTTCATCTTTTCACTGGAAATCTCAGATAAGTTCACATCTCTTTTCCCCTTTTCTGTGTTTCAGATCAATACAGCTGAGGGTTTTGTTTATGAAGCTACTTGTCAAATGGGCTCCAGATAATGCTGAGGCACTAATGCCTTTTTAAAATTCTGTTGTGTTATATTTAGTTAATAAACTTGTTTAGTTTACAATCAATACAGATGAAGGACTGTTTGTATGATGCTTTCTAAGTGTTATTAAAAAAAGACACTGAGTGAGACAAAGGGATGGATATTTGGTACTTGTACCTTCCAGAAAATAAATTGGCCAAAGTAACTTCTATCTGTAGAGACAGATATATAATTTTTCTTTCATTCTAACATTAGACCCAAATTAAGACAATGATAAATCTTGAAAATACAAATGAGGCCTAAAGTATTCTTATGAAGAACTCTCTTACTATTTCTCAAAGCCATCACAATGGAAGAATCATTTGCATGAAGTTTGCAAAAGGCACAGAAAAGAGAAGGTTATAGGAAAGAAGGATTATTTGGTCTCACAAGGCTTTATTTATGGAAGAAACAAAAGTCTTGTTTTCAGTGGAGTAGCTGTATTCTCCTCAATTCACATTCAGCTGGGGCCTCTGTCCCCAGTCCTTTGGTCACACTGTGGACAACATTTGATTTTATGTGAAAGAGAGCAAAGACTGAATGCATGAGAATTCTCTAAGTAGACATAGGAAAACATTAAGAAAAATTATAACTGCACATAATATACTTCAGCAATTATTAGTTATTAAATTGACAGGTCAATCAAGGTCTTCCAGGTTTATGCCAACATAACTGCACACACTCCCAAGAAGATAATTTGGGCCATTAATATATTATCTTAGATGATTCCTTAATGCAAACACGTAAATTGCTAACACTGAACCACATTAATTAAACTACATCTTATTAATTACTTGTAGACTTCTAAAAAGGCAGTCAAATGTTGCAGATACCAGTTTATAACCTTTAATGATGCCCTGTTATAGGAGATCCTATTATACTGCCATGATATCCTCTATAAATTGGCTGCTCAATTTAATCAGCACAGCAGTATTACAGATCCTGTGCATGCTGTTCCTGATTTCTGTTCTTTAGAAACCTTGTATAGGCTGAAAAGAGAATTCATGATAGAAAATCTTTTTGACCTGAGGAGGATTCTCTATCAGAATCACAGAAGATGTTATGACACTGCATACCTCAGTTTCAGCCTACTGTACCTAAGCCCACCCTGTTTTGCCACCCTTTTCCTTACTGCACTGTAAGATCCAAACTAGGAAGTTAATGCTAGTACTACTAAAAAGCTATCAGTGCTATATTTCCATGATGTCCCTAGAAATCTCTACTCCTTTTTAATGCCTAGGACATTTTAATATATTATGGTGTAAGTAAGAATGATCTCTTTTTCCCCAACTTTTTTGAATATACTCCTGAGAATGATTTTAAGTTCTTAGCTCATAATTTTTCACTGTTTTAACCTTCATGTTCCTTTTCCCCATAGATTCTCTCAACACAAGCATGCAGTATAAACTTTGCCATGTTTAATTTAGAGTGTAAGATCTGAATGACAGAGGTCTGCCACTTTTTTCTGTCTGAGAGAGTCAGCACACACCTGGGAGACTAGAAATAATAAAAACATATAATAAGACTCCATATTAACACTTATTCCCAGGCTAATTTCTTTGTCCCAAGATGTTTTTCGCTTCCTATCCTTGAACAAAGGAAAGCATATATTGAGATTACCTTGTGTATATATTTTGAAATTAGAAAGTACATTCAATTTAGTAACAGACACTTCCTTTTGCTTAGCTTGTATTTCTGAAACAAAGTGCTAGCAACAGTTAGAGGTGATAATCAGATGACAGCCTGGGAAAGAGGAAGGTGCCCAAAATAAAATTTATTAGGTGCTTTGGGAGATTAAAAGAAAAGTTTTTTAGGCAGGAAAAAAGTATGGCTTTCAGTGGTCTGCTTGTACTTCTAGGCTTGAACAAAAATAAGCACAGAGAAGAGTTTTGACTAGGGGGGGAAAAGGATGGCATATTAAACTACAGTTAAAGAAACATTTTTGTGACACAGTGGGGCATAAAGACCCCATGTATAAAATAAAATGTATAAAATAACAATATGATTAGTTATAATGAATTAATTAAAAAAAAAATAAGGATGTGAAGAAAGAGGGAAGGTCTAATTCTAGGTTGCATTTTCTATTGAAAATTTAGCAGAAATCTTGCTGATTCTGTGTGGTGGAATTCCTGGTTTTAGAACTTAAGGACTCACCAAACTTTCCAGAGTTCTGTGAGTTACAACTGGTTTGTCTCTTTCTAAAATATAGAGCAGCATGACTGTCTAACCTATACCTTGCAAGTGAAAATTGTTACTAATGAAGCAGATTTCATTGAAGTTAACAAGACCTGAGTTTTCAAGAAGTGGACAGTATTTTCCAGATCTTTGTAAAGTATCTCATGGCCACCTTCCTCCTTCACATTTCTTATTAATGGTTAATAGTCTTGCTGGCAGCAAAATTTCCTTTTGAAGTTTCATTAAGTAGCATTTATGTTCCAGTGCCAGTCACACTATTTTTTAGATTCAGCAAAGATGCCTCTGGTATTCTTAAGATGATTTGACTCTTTCAAACTTATTGGCCTGGGCCTTAAAATCAGAACAGACTGAGGATAAAGCTTTCTTGTGTAGACAAGAAAGACAAGTGTACAGATAAATGTATACACTCCTTTTGGTGGTTTAAATAAAACAACAACAACAAAAATCAACATTGCAGTGTTTGGGGACACACAGGAAAACATTAATTTACCATTTGAGATGTGATGAAATTTCTTTAATAAACTAGTATAAAGAACAGAGGGAGACATAGCCCCTGAAAAAATATGCAATGTGTAACCATGTAACCCTGTAATACAGTGCTGCCATGGCTTGGTATAGGTCATAAGGTTTGTACGCAGTTTGCAAGGCCTCAGGACTGGGTTTGTCAGTCTTGCTCCCTCTGAACTTTTCTTGACCTGCCTGCAGCTTTGTTTTACTTGGTTTAGCTGTGACAATTTCTCTAATGGACCAGGTGTCTAAGGCTAATTTCTTTTACTTTTTAGCTGTGTATGTGTCCTGGTTTCAGCTGGGATAGAGTTAATTGTCTTCCTAGTAGCTGGTATGGTGCTATGTTTTGAGTTCAGTATGAAAAGAAAGTTGATAACACACTGATGTTTTCAGTTGTTGCTCAGCAGTGTTTAGTCTAAAGTCAAGGTATTTTCAGCTTCTCAAGCCCAGCCAGCGAGAAAGCTGGAGGGGCACAAGAAGTTGGCACAGGACACAGCCAGGGCAGCTGACCCAAACTGGCCAACAGGGTACTCCATACCATGGGACGTCACATCTAGTGTATAAACTGGGGGGAGTGGGGGCGGGGGGAATTGCTGCTCAGGGACTAACTGGGTGTCGATTGGTGGGTGCTGAGCAATTGCAGTGAGCATTATTTGTACATTCCAATCCTTTTATCATTACTGTTGTCATTTTATTAGTGTTATCATTATCATTATTAGTTTCTTCTTTTCTGTTCTATTAAACCGTTCTTATCTCAACCCGTGAGTTTTACTTCTTTCCCAGATTTTCTCCCCCATCCCACTGGGTGGCGGGGAGTGAGTGAGTGGCTGCGTGGTGCTTAATTGCTGGCTGGGGTTAAACCATGACAGTATGTTACAGCCATACACAGTTTTATGCAGTTTAGCAGTGTATACAGTTAGTTTTATGCAGGTAGCAGTAACAAGTGGTTGTTGTAGGTGGAATAAGATATTTACCACTCTAACACAATGATGTAGCATAGAGACATACCAGCCTGCTACGATACTGGGCGCCTTGAGAAGAGGAGACCCAGGGTGTGGCATGGAGGAGTACAGGCATGGGGGACAGCATAACACCAGGAAAAAGACTAGAAACTCAAAAAAGTATGTATAACAATTTCAGCTGCATTATTATTCTTTCTTTTTCTGTTACAGTTACATCTGGACTAATAATGATTAGACTCTTAAGGTTTCAGTTATTCTAACACTAAAGTTTTGGCTTTACTTACATATAGGGTGTGCTGCTTCTTTGCCCATGAACAACATTTTGAGCTTAACAACTGCTCTAAGAGTCTGATCTTGTAAATCTCACTGAGCAGCATAACTGATGTAATAACTATATGACTATGTCACACATGGCATATTTTTATAAATTATTTTAAAATATAACCTAGTACTTTTAAAAAACTAATTTTAGAGGTGCAAAACATTGTTCATTAATACTTTTTTCTAACCAGAATGAAAATAGTTTCATTTTAGTCTGTTCTAAGTCAGTGAAAACTCTTCCTGATCCTAGTTAAGTGCTAAAGATAACAAGAAGGAAATATTTTTCAAGGTTTCAATATAGTAACTTACTCTTTTTTGAAATATTTGTTTTTCTTTAGTCTTCTTGCTGGAGCCTTCCCCTGAAAAACATTATGAAAACTTTAAATTTAGTAAATGGAAGATCAAAACAGTAACTTCCACTGTACCATAAGCATTTCCCTTATATGCACTTAAAACCACTTACATACACTTAAAAACACTGACTAGATCATGTTGAAAATTTTTGCTGGAAAATACAATGAACACTGGTTCCTAACATGCTTTCTTTCTAGGGCCTGCTACAATGCCATACAAGTGTCTCCCTGGATATAAAGGCTGTGATGATTTTCTTCTCCCTGTCAGTAGGGAAAGGGGTAGTTTAAACATGAGCTAAAAGGAATTAATGCATTTGGACATGTTATACATGAAAGAATTTATGAATTTCACTCATGTCTTCTGGTGGTCACTGTACTTCATGGATACTGAAGCCTTGATTTTAAACAGAGATGTCTGGAGGCTTTTTTAGCAGATTTGGGTATAAAAAAATGCATCTCTAAATGGCCATAATAAAGCATGTGAAACCCAAAGTTTCTGCCTTTTTCTAAATGCTGATGGAAAGAGGATAAAAGTTTGGCCCCAGCTGGGCAATATGCAGAATCCCATAGTATTTGCTTAACAGCAGTGCCTGTTAAAAACAAGAATCCAAATAAGGTATTTTTCCTTAGCGTGGTAGCACTTCAGAATTTTGCATAATGCTCTAAAGATGCAAAAAAGTATTATTATCTCCATTTTAAAATTGGGTAACAGAAATACTGACAGTTTACTGAAATTATGCATAAAAACCTGCAGAATGTAAACCTAAAATTAGATCTTTTGAGTCCTCCATTAGCTTCTTTAGTGCCACTAGCAACTATTTTGCAAATCAGTGTGCTGAGTTGTATTGATTGTGGTGTCAGATTACATTTTCTCCAGACTCAAGATCAGGATCCAAAAAAAAAAAAAAAGTAGGTGTAAACTACGTAAAGGATGACACACTTGATGCACTGTATAGAAGAACTGCTTCTTCTTCTGAGCTGCAAATACAAATTGGAAGTTCCCAACCCACTGCTGATCCACTCAAAAAACTCATTTAATTCTACATAAGTCTTGACTAAGATATTTTTATATTATTTTGTGGTTTTTTAAACTGTGAGGGTTCAAGGAATAGTGGGTTGTCCTTTTATGTTCCAGGGACTGCCTGGTTTTTGGCACTAGATGAAGTGGAAATGAAGCAGGTTATGCTCAGCTCAGGCATTGTTTCTTGTCATGCAGAAGAGGTTATTATATTATGTAAAAAAATCAGAAAAAAGGTTGATTCACTGTTAATAAGCTAGACATGGAGAAATATTTTGACAGTCATTTAATCTGAAGCTGATTCACTTATGCATGAGAGATTTACAGTTCACCTCTTTTATGGATTATTGGCCCACTACACTGGTTTTATTGCTTGGCTGCAAACCAGTTGCTCATGATTAACAGTAGTCTAAAGGATCACTATATCCAGACTTTTATTCAAGCTACCTGAAATTTTTACCTTGTTTTCTTTTCATTTGCCATTTTGTTGTTGTTGTTTAGAAACCAGGATTGGGGAGTTTGTCTGCTTCATGTTTTGTTCTGTTTGTTTTGCTTTAATACAGTCCAAACCCCAAAACTTTTATCCATTTCTTAATTCCCTTGGGGTTTTTTTTGTGGGTTTGGGGGGAGTTTTGTTGTTGTTGTTGCTTTGGTTTTTGTTTTGTTTTTTTTTTTTTTTTTCCACTCTGCATTTTAAATAATGAGGTATGGGATAAATTATTTTGGCAAAATTAGAAATCCATCAAACATTATGAGTTAAAATCAGCCCTTGTGTGATTTCACTTCATTCATTAGTGCTGTGCTAGAGATTAATTTGGACTCCTGAGTTCTTATTTTGGCAATGAAAATAAATTATTAAGATTTGTATTCTTGGAACTGTACAACTTTCTTAGTAAAATTATAAAATAGAATAAAATATTGAATATTTAGCAAAAACTTTGAAAAGTCCATCCTTTCACCACTCCATTTCTTTAAACTATTATTTAAGGGGCCATTATACAGAAGGTCATAGATGAATTTTTCACCTGTGCCTTTAGTTTCCTCTTCTCATACCTGACGTTACCATACCACACCTCTGTTGTGAAACACTAATAACATTATTTTTTCTCTTTTTTAAACATCAAAAAGCCTATTGAACTTCTCCAGAGAAGTTCACACTAGAGATATATGAGAAACAACAATGGTTTTTTGACATTCTGTCCAATGATAAAATCATGTCGTTTATCATTTTCCATTCTTTAAGTGAACTGGATAAGGATTTTTAATCAATATTTGCCATTTCTAATTGCATCCTTTGTTTTTTCTGTCTCTCTGGATTCCTACTAAATCATTTAAAAATCATGTGCTCTACCATTACTCATAAGAGTACATTGAAAATATTGAAACCCCTAGGTATCTTGTAAACAGATGGATAGAATTTTAACAGAATGGCACAGTTTTTAGGTTTTGGTAGAAGTATGTTCATTTACTTTTTTTGGTGGAAACCTTAGGTTTGTAGTCAATATTTACATTTACTTAAATAACCAAAGAGGTTAAGGATTATTTTAACCTTACACTAACAACAGTAACAACATGTAGTTCATGCTGATAATGATCTCTGGAAGAAGGGACTTCCTATTGAGCAATTTGCTCAAAAAGTGACAGTATAAACCTAACGAGCACAGCTGAACGTATTTCTCCCTATTGAATTTTTTTCTTGAAAATTAACCTTTAAAGACAACATAGCTTTGAAAAGGTAGATTCTTATTTTTAGCTGTGGTGGTTTTTTTCTTAGGTAAACATTAATACCAGCAGATGGAAATGAAGTGTTTGTTTTTTTCTCCCTCTCATTTGATGCTAAAATTTCACCAGTGAAGTATGGTCATAACATGGTCACTTGTGCTGTCATAAAACTGTGTTTTTCAGTCTCATCGTAATCAATCAAATACAAACTGTTTTTTAGCATAAAAAAATATATCAAGATCTGGGAACTAATTACTAATCTTTTCCTGCTAAGTCCCAAAGTATTATTTATAAAGGTTACTAGTGTATGCCAAATGTTAATATAATTAGATCATAATAGATTAAATTTAGTAGTTAGTCATTTTATGAATTTTAATAATTCTGGATAAAAATGGAGATGACCAATTATTTCTTTTTTTAAAGTTTACACTATGTCTGCATATAAAGACAAGGTACAATAGTACATGGTAAATTAATAAGTCTGTAACGCTATGACAATTTTGGCATTATTTTCAAAGTCACTGCTGTATTATGGTAGCCTTCTTGCAAAGTTCAAAAGGTATTAAGATACAGTAAATTTTAGTCATGTATTAAACAATATTATTTTTAATCTCTATAAAGGACTTACATCAAGATCTATAACCTTGATCTTATTATCAGTGTCATATCAACCTGCATTAATTTACCAAATGTTGTCAATTTGTATTTTACACTTTCAATAATATACTGATTTTAAATACTGCCTCATCAGAATTATATATGAAAATGTGTTTATTCAGTCTATTGTTGCTGAATAATAAAAAGCAAAGTGACATGTTCATGGTATGACTTTTGACAGCATTTTTAATTAGAAATAGTTAATCTTAATGGATTCAGTAGATCATGTGCATGAATGCTACTGCCCTAGTTTAAATTTCATGTTAAATCTCATTAATTAGGTAAAATAAAATTAATACACTATAAAGAATTAAATTTTTATTTGCTAGAGCAGGCCAGAGGTAATTATTTCCCTAACTTGCACACTATCAATGAAATTCATAACATGATGCAGAACTTTCAGCTTCACCTAAAGCAGTTTCTTCTATTTGTCCAGTGAAATCCTAATGTACCCAGGTGGATCCATCAATTTACAATGGCAAAAAAAGCAAGAAGAAAAAAACCTTTTTTTTTTAAATCAAATTGTATTGGGTTTGCTTGACAAGGTTTTGGTAGCAGGGGGGCTACAGGGGTGGCTTCTGTGAGAAGCTGCTAGACACTTCCCCCATGTCTGACCGAGCCAATGCCAGCCAGCCCCAAGGTGGACCCACTGCTGGCCAAGGTTGAACCCATCAGTGACAGCGGTAGTGCCTCTGGGATCACATATTTAAGGAGGGGGAAAACCCACTGCACAGCAGCAACTGCAGCTGGAGAGAGGAGTGAGAACATGTAAGAGAAACAACCCTGCAGACCCCCAGATCAGTGAAGAAGGAGGGGGAGGAGGTGCTCCAGGCGCTGGAGCAGAGATTCCCCTGCAGCCCGTGGGGAAGACCATGGTGAGGCAGGCTGTCCCCCTGCAGCCCATGGAGGACCCCACACTGGAGCAGGTGGATGCCCGAAGGAGGCTGTTACCCCGTGGGAAGCCCGCACTGGAGCAGGCTTCTGGCAGGACCTGTGGCCCCAAGGAGAGAGGAGCCCATGCTGGAGCAGGTTTTCCAGCAGGACTTGTGACCCCGCGGGGGACCCACGCTGGAGCAGTCTGTGCCTGAAGGACTACAGCCTGTGGAAGGGACCCATGCTGGAGCAGTTTGTGAAAAACTGCTGCCCATGGGAAGGACCCACATTGGAGAAGTTCGTGGAGGACTGCCTCCTGTGGGAGGGACCCCACGCTGGAGCAGGGAAAGAGTGAGGATTCCTCCCCTTGAGGAGGAAGGAGCAGCAGAGACAATGTGTGATGAACTGACCGTAACCCCCATTCCCCCTCCTCCTGTGCCACTGGTGGGGAGGAGGTAGAGAATTTGGGAGTGAAGCTGTGCCCAGGAAGAAGGGAGGGGTGGGGGGAAGGTGTTTTAAGATTTGATTTTATTTCTCATTACCTTACTCTGGTTGATTGGTAATAAATTAAGTTAATTTTCCCCAAGTTGAGTCTGGTTTTGCCCGTGAAGTTAATTGGTGAGTCATCTCCCCCTGTCCTTAACTCATGAGTCTTTTCGTATATTTTGTCTCCCTTGTCCAGCTGAGGAGAGGAGTGATAGACCGGCTTTGGTGGGCACGTGGCATCCAGCCAGGCCCAACCCACCACACACATGCCTGTTTAATCACATAAAAATTTGCTTAAGGCTTTCATTGACATGATGTTGTAAAGAGTGTCATATAGATGCAGATTATTCTGCACGTAATTGGGTATGCATTTATGTATTTTGAGTATGAGAGTGGGAGGAAGTATCTGGCCTTAAGGCTACTCTTTTGATCCAGAATGAAATTACAGTTGTAGCTATAAACTTTGTTGTCAAAGTATATTTTTCCTTTTCATAAAGTAAAGAGTGGATGGATCACAGTTAGAAGAGTGACAGATTCATAGGATCTGCACCTGTTTCCTCCACAATTAAATGTACTTCAGCCGATGTGAGTTCAAGATGACTATGTCCAAGAGTTTAGAGTAATAGGGTTGATAACCCTTTCAGATAGCTCAAAGAATCGTTTGAAGTACAGTTTCAGTATGGTCATCTGTCCAGTCAGGGAGACATCGCATTTATCAATGTTCAGAAAAACATCTTTGTAGGCAGGAGTATGATTCTTTTTTTAATCCTACAGTACTGTTGTTAGAAAGAGAAAATATTATTAAAATGGATATCTCTTTCACTGTAATAAACCATAAAGCACTACTATCATTAATGAAAGTGTTATCTCTGCTGTGATTACAAAACAAATATTGTTTTGTTTCAATGTTTTTTTGTCAGAATTCTGCCTTGGATACTGTTTTGGACTTTCCTAAAGCCATTGAAGTAAAAGCAATCTGTATTTATCTATTAATTTTTTAAAAATACCTAGTTCTACTTTAAAAAAAAATTATTTTATTTGAAAGAAAAAGAAAAAAGAATGGTTCGTGTATTTCAGTCCTCTTGGAACAGCACATGGTGATTCCCTGCAGGCAGGTAGTTTAGGATTATGGAATCCCATAAGTGTTTGGAAGGGACATCTGGGGGTCTCCTATTCCAGACTACCTCCTGAAGCGGGAGCACTGCCAACACCAGGCAGGTCAGCTGGAGTTTTTTGACATAAATGTTGAAAAACTCCAAGGGAGGAGGTTCCACAGACTCTCTGGACAGCCTGGCCATTGCTGCACTACCCTTGAAGTGAAAAGTACATTCCTAATGGTGAGCAAAGATCAAGACAACAGCAGGACTGACTCCTAAACTGCAGGCACCAACGTGTATTGTTTTACCGTGCACTGTGCTATGGAAGCTGTTTAAATGAGCCTTACGAGTGGAAGAACTACCTGCAGTATTCTCTGCAGTTGTTCAGTTGAAGCGTTCCACATGATCTGAAAAAATCTGAAGCATGATCTTTCCAGCTGAGGGACCCTGGTCCAGATGAGCTGCTTCCACAGAACCTCATTGCCACCTCATTGGTAGTTTGCTTCACTTCTGTGTGCGTTCAGACAATTTTGCGTGGAGAGATTACTTAAAAGGTATATTATTGAGGCTTTTTGTCCTTTAGAACAGGAACTGTGTCCTTTACAATATACACAGGTTGGCAATGCACTTGCTTATCACTACTAATTGTAAGCATGTGAGAAAGAATGTAATCTTTCTATGCAAGATAGGCACAAAGCAGTAGAATTAAATAGAATTTGTAAATGCTTTGTAAGGTGGAGAAAAAATATCATTTCAGTCAAGCCATCTTGCTAGTAGTGTCAAACTACAATGGTATTTTAAATGCTATTAGTCTTCTCTAAAGGCCTTCTTAAACATTCTCTTCATGCCAGCTGCAATATTTAACACTTCAATCATCACAACAAAGCATGTATAATAACAACCATTGATAAATTTCCTTATAAAAAGCCAATGAAATATCATTATATTTCATTACTTATGCTTTGAAATTTGTCACAAAAAAGGTTTGATTGCTCAAATTCACAATTAATTTTTAAGCAATTACAAAATTACATGATTTTATGGTTTTTTTCAGTGCACTATTGTGTTCTAAACCTTAATTTTTTTATGATGTTCAATTTCAACCTCACCAGGGTGGGCTATACGATGTGTAGCATTTGCAAAGGGAAGACCATGGTAACTGAAGTACGGAACAGATATTGTAGTGACACCAACTAATAGGAAACATTTGTTTTCCTTTTCTTTAAATTTAAAATTATTGCCTATTTTGACCAGTTATCTCCTGCACCAAAGCCACACAGCCTCCCTGCTGAAATATCTCAGGGACCCAAGATTCCCTGTGAAATAAAAGGAAGCTGAAGGTAATTGGTATTTTTCAAAAGTGAAGTATTTTTTTCTCCTTCATACTGCTAGTATTTTATACTTTAAACCTCTTCATGTTTCAACCCATGCATAGAATCTGGACTATGAAAAGGCACTATGAGCTTAAGATCGATTTCTTGAAGTCAGAGATTGACACTCTAAGAAACAATGTCCAACAGGCACTAACAACAAAAACTTCTCCCTTCCTTGCCAAAGGCCTGAGCTGAGACAAACTTCTCTGCCGAGGAAAGAATAACTTCTGAGTCCAATTGGTTTTGGTCCTTTCCTTTAAGATTGTTCACAAGGCTCTCATGCAGGTTCCTCTAAAAGCTAAAGATTTTACCCTGCGAGTACTGTATATGAAGACTGGAATTTGGCCACCAGTTCATGTTGTATCTGATCATCAGTCTACAGCTGAACAGCCAGTTGAGTGTGATGGCAAGGGATGAATGGGAGAGGAAGAGCTGATGCTCAGGCAAAAGCTAACTGTTCTCTGACAGGAGATGGTATCTGTTCCAGTCATACTGATTTTTTCTGAGGGCACAGATCATGGCAGGCATATGTTCTCTCCGTGCTAGTGCAAGATAAATGGTGAGTCAGGCAAAACTGGCCAGAGAAATCCACTACACAGTTCAGAAGAAACAGAGCAAAAGCAGTCTGTTCATTCAGGTCCCAAAATCTGGAGTGTACCATAAGCAGCCCATTAAAACAAGGATGAGGTCTCACTGTGGCTGCCATTTGTACTGTACAATAACTAAATCTCAGTCGAGATTAATTGAACAGATAAGCAGGATATAATTGCTACCCTTATTGCCTGTTCTTGGAGGAATTATAATGAAAATTGTTACTCCAGCATTACCTTCTCCTATATTTCTGTGTAGTATCTGTTTAAAGTGAAACAAAAAACAAATGGATGAAATTGAAATTATACATGCACACTCTTTCTCTCACTCTCATGCACACACACACACATACATATTCTATGCGACTTTGGAAATATCAGTAATTATGTCTCCAGATGCACTGGAACAGCAGGGCAAAAAGCAAGGCTATAGATACAGATTATTAAAAACATGAAAAGCATCAGATGGTAACTTAGATCCAAATTTGGCTTCATCAGCTAAAAAAGCCATGATAGATGGTGGTTTGTGAGATGAGATTTTTACAAAATATTTTTTCTCATTAGGAAAGATCAGGCTATAGTGAAGTCTTGCAAAGAAATGGACAGTTAAAATAGTAACAGAAGATATTTTATTAACAACCTGGTTTCAGTGATGAACAGAATAGAAAAAACCCTGAGATCAGAGGATTCTGTTTCTAAAGGAAGCTTTTATGATAAGAAGGGAAGTATTTCTGGAAAAACAAATGAATATGCAAAAACAGAGAGGTTCTTGGAACAGCACACTTCTCCAATGAGAATTCACATTAGGATGTAGTGGCATACCTTAGCCAGAAATAAAGATTGATATACCAAACAATTTCCTTGCTTCTCCCCTTATATGCATGTGCTGTTTAAACTGTATGGGGAGAAAGGAAAGCAACAGACTGGAAACTTAGCTTAGATCTTTGTTAAAGCCATTTCAAGTGGTTAGCTTTTGGTTTCCAAATGTTCCCTCTCCAAGCCCACCTTCTCAAAATCCTTTTGAAATCCTAATTATCTGAAAGATGTTTTTATTTTTTGCCTTTCTTCCTACTCTTTTTTTCATAGTAAGAAATACATGGAAAAACAAGGAGATGAATATATAAGTAAAGCTGTGTCTTTCCAAATACACATGCGTCCACATGCATACACATTCTAGAAAAGTTTAGAATGTGAGAAAGATGCATTGGTAAATTATGGGGGGTGTGTGTTTGGTTAGGATCCATATTAGTCCAGAATTTCAATCACATGAGTAAAAAATCATATTTTAAAATCCCATTTAAATTATAATGAGGATCTCTTCTTCTCATTCCACCATGGAATTTTTTATTCATGGAAAAGAAACTTCCACGTTCACCTTTTTTCTTGTGGTTAAAGATTATTGACACTAGAGCTGAAACTCTGTTCTTTCTCACTAGAGTCTCTCACATGAATCTGTGTAGTCCTATAACTAAACTTCATCTAGTAGCCAAATTAGTTAGTTTAATTGCTACGCTAGAAGCCACTTGGACTTTCCTACACTACATTGCAGCCAAACATATAGGCATGTCTGTACTGAGATTTCAGATACTTACTTGTTCAGCTCAGAGAAGCATTAGTACGATTATCTATAAAATTCTTTATTTGCAATAGATAGGTGTGAATCAAGTCATATAAATGTCTAGGAAGTTAATTTTAGTTCATGGTAAGCTATCTCTCATCATTTATAGAGAGACATGATTTACCATTATGGGCACAGTTACATACTTGTATATCTAATCACCTTCTAGATGAGAGGTTGCTTGAATTTGGATGGTTTAGAATATATAGGATGATTGTGAAAGCTTGTACCAGATCCATTATTCAGACATTTCCTAGCTTTCTCTCTTACTGGCAGGTGTATGAGGAAACTCTCTTCTTCTAATGTTGTAGAACAAAGCTCATTGAAATTATGTCCTGTAGCTATATTTTGTCTCACCTATTAAAAAAGAAAAAGTTTGTTACATGGGATAGTGTTTGGTTTGGTGTGCATCAAATGTTAGATTTATTTACCTGAAAGACAGCATAGAAGATAATAAATTCAATATTGTTGCACCATAAAAGCATTATGTAATCGGAACACCTGCTTTCTACCCTATCCAGTATTAGGAAGACAAGGCCAATTAATATATAATACAGAAATTAAAAGTTCAAAACATACTAAGATATG